AGAAGAAAAAATAGGACAGACATAGGAATGATATAGGCACACCTCTTCTAGAGGTCTAAGTCCTTAATATTCAATATTCAAATCCTTCTAAGATTGCTGCGAAATGCACTGCAGAAGGGTCATAGAATGATAGGCATGTGAGGGAACATTCCACAGCATGTTGTCTCAGAGACTGATGGTGCAGGCCAGGAATCTAAAACCAAGAGAAGGCGAAGCATTCACTGTTGCAGGGACAGATCTGAGACAAGAAAGCAGGTCCCACGACTCCTAGTTCGGTGCTCTTTCCAGTCCTGAGAGGAAGGTGAAACAAGGAGATGAATAGAATTAAGAAAGGAAAAGAAAACAGAAAGAAAGGGAAAAAGAAAGAAAATACAGAAAGGGAAGATAATACAAGGAACAAAGAAGATAAGAAAGGGAAGTGACCCTATAGTTTTAAGCCTTTGATAATCTTGTGAACTTAAGAATAGAGAACATAGGTGCTCTGGGTAAATTAGGCCTGAAGTCAAAAACGCAAGACAATTAAGGGCATAGTCCAAACATTTATCCGTTCTTGTCTGCTTAGAAATGAAGTTTCTAGAAAGAGAAGACAATACTGTAGAAGGACAACCCCTCAGGAACTGTGAAGGGTGGAGGCTGTCCTTTTCATTCTGATGGCAATGGATACAATGCAAGCCTTTTATCTGGATTCCTGCTTTTTCCTCCTGGTTGGAAAGTAAATTGATGAACTGGTAGAAATGCTCACAGCTGATTAATGTATCACAGATTCTTTTAGCAGAGCCTTTCTGAATACTTATTGAGTTTTTTTCCCTTAAGATATCACTAGAGAAAATGTTAAATATGCATCAGTACTTGAAGGGAACTCAAACGCCCTCATTTCATAGAAAGTATTTATAACTACAGTAATTCCCTGACTTATGAACTGCTTCCTTTTTGGGAGAACGTTTGTAAGTTGGATGAGTTGGTAAGCCTGACAAAGTGAGTCTTACACACCTTTGACAAAAATGCACATTGCGTATTGCTGTGCACTTCCTAGCAGTCCCCTCCACGTCACCACTGCCCTTCCTCTTGCTTCCAGACATCATGGGCTCTGCCTGAGCACTGCACTACTGTTCACAACACACTGTACAATAAGCACACAGCAGCACAACTGTGACAATGTCCCGCAGACACGAGAACAACTTTTGCTATTCATATCTACAAATGTTTGTAAGTCAATTTGTTTATTTATATGTAATTAGGACAGGGTCTACAGTGTCTCACTACAGAGCTCAGATTCATAGTGATCCCCCTGTTTTCAGCCTTGCAAGCACTGGGATTACAAGTACACGCCACCACATCTGGTCTCAGTGACAGTCTTAGTGCGCCCAAGGGCGGAACCAACACTGCACACTGGGGATTGAATCCTGGTCTCTGTGCTTGCCTAAGCAGGCGCTTTAGTCCACTGAGCTATCTGGCCAGCCCTTGTAAGTCAATTCGTATCTGTGAAAGTTTGCAACTGGAATGTCCATAAGTCAGGGGCTTGCTGTAGCCCAAAGTCCCATAGCTAAGAAGATGGTATGTGCCCTGGAGAAATCTGGTCCTTGTGTATGAGAAACAGCTGCAAGATGTGGTGAGAGTAATGAAAGAGGCAGCCAGATTCAGGGTAGTTCACAGTAGCATTCATTAGGGATTTCTGAAAAAAAATATTCATCTTGGGTGGGGTGGCAAGACAGGTGGAGATCCTGTGGTTTAGGTCAAAGAAAGGGAACTTCTATAATGGTCAGGGTAAAAGTGACCTCATCTAAGCTGGAATGTACCTGGCTTCTCTCAAGCTAATATCACAGATACCAGGCTATTCCTGGCACTGACAGCAGCAGGGTCCAGTTATAAAGCTCCACATACCACCCTAACGGTTCTGTTTATTTACATTATGGTGGGAAACTATGCAGGAAATCAGGCCAGCGTTACTCCAGAGAGATCATAGCAGCTACAACTCAGCATGGCTGTAAGATGGCAGGTCAAGATGAAGCCCTCCAACATCATTAACTAATGCCGCCGAGGAAAGCACTCATGGTCTTAGCAGATGATGGAGTCTTTCAGCCCTTTTATGTTTGTTCCATATATGCTCCTCTCAAAACAAAAGGCGTAATTTATTTCCTCTCCCTTAACCATGACTTGATTTGCTCCATATAATAAAGTACAGATGACTTTCTAAAACTTCGAAACTCAACTTATGTTTCTTTCCTTTGGAAGCCAGATACATAGATGGAATCTGATCACGTTGCTATAGGAAAGGCCAGGCTAGCTAGATGGAATGAAAAGGACTGGGGGCCTGATGTGTGAGTGAAGCCTGCTACACCGTCTAGCTTGGCCACATGCAGCCTACAGTGCGTCCTTAACCAGTGCTCCACTAAGCTTAGCTGACCCAAAGAGAAAAAAGCAATGGTTGGTGTCACGGACTACTAAGTTTTACGGTGATTTGTTATGTGGCAATAGATAACTGGCACAATGCCTTATGCCAGGCACCGGTTGTTATTTGTCATGAGTCTATGGCTTGCTTCACACTATGATCTGGATCGAGCCTAGCTAACAGCATTGGGGCTTGCTGGTGCCTCTAAAGTCAGCTGAGGACTGACTGGTCAAGGGAGGCTTCAGTATGGTGACTCAAATCTGCCACATGGGGTCTTTCCTCTTCCAACAAGCTTGTTCTCCAGCTGAGGACAGAATTCCAACAGTACATGCAGAAATGCACACTTTTCAAGATCTCAGTAACATCAAACCTGCTATTCTCCCATTGGTCATTGTAAATTATTCAACTGGACGCAAAGGGGACAGAACTGCAAAGTTAAAGGGGAAAAGCCTGGGTAAAGACCCTGCATAAAGGAAGGTCATTACCTTGGGTCCCTTAATGCCACCAAATCTGCTATAAGAAATTCATGTGTGTAAGTAATATTAAACAACAGAATTAGGATTCTGGATTAAGATCTAGACTCGAAAAAAATGACATCTGAAATGAAGTAAAATAAGTTGATGAGCACGTTCTGATTTTCCAATAGGCTCTCAGAATTTCTGGCCAAATCACTGGTGCTGTGACGTTGACGTTGTCATATTTCCAGCTGAGGAATGACTTTCCCAATTTCCTATTGATAGAATAAAAAACAGAATCAGGAAGGAATCCGAGTCTCACACCACATGTTCCTCATTCTATTTTATTCACAGTAATGATACAATCGCAAGGCTCTTAGAGCTTCTTAGAATTGTGCTTCACAGTCAGCCCTCTGAATAGCCCACGGGCGGTCTGCTTTGTGACTTCTCTCCTGAAACCTAAGGTGGCGTTAAGTCCAGGATTTCATGGGAAAAGAGGGTCTTGTGCAGGTGCATGTGTCCAGGCACTTCCATGTGTGTGGCCACTGTGTGGCCACTCTAAACCGTCTGGGGCTTCACTGAGGTTTCTGCCTCCTCTGAATTACCAGGAACTGACTGTACTTTCACTTACCATCATTGCTTTGGCAAGTGAATTCACTTTCCGCTCCTTGAAATTCGGAGACGACTGAGAAAGGGAGGAGGGAACATAGCTCCCCAGGGCCAGATCCCATAGTGGGATAGAAGGGTGCTTGCACCCTTCTCTTGATCCTATCTTGAACCCTGCTCAGTCAGCGTTTCTATTAGTTTTTATTCAGAAATTGGGAATCAAGGAAACTGTGTTCCAGTTCACTGGTCGCTTAACATCCATGGACCTTCCTTTACTAATCTGTAAAGTAAGCAAGTTGGACTAGAGATATGTTCCCACTTGGAGCTTTAAAAAGTATGGTGAAAGTACACACAAGTCAGAGACCTGAGCAAATGATAACCTCACCCGAAATAGGCTAGGAAAATAGCCAATGAGCACTAGCTATTATACCTCAATAAAGCTTTTAAAAAGTAATAGTATTTTGTTATCAAAAACATGACTGCACTCCATCCTAGGCTGGTGGATGGGAAGAGATGTCAAAGCCAAGAAGAGGTGCTTCTGAGAAGAGAACTAAGGGGGCATCTTTGGATCACGGTGCCAGGGACATCTGACAACAGGGATCGTGGAATGCTGGTCTTCCCCAGACAGAATGCATGCCACGTTTTCCAGCAGTGTTGGTGCTCTGTTTTGTTAAACACGAGAAGTAGAAGGAAATAATGGGGCTGTGGAAGGCCACTTGCATCCTTGCATCGCTTCAGCTAAGTGGGATCCGCTATCTTTGGGTTCCTAATTAAGTGAATTTAGCTTTTGCGTCCCCGCCAGCATTTTTTTCTCTAGTTAGTCCAATATATCTGGCTCCTACCCAGTTCGCTGCTGGACTGACTTCAGATGACAGTGCAAGTGTCCCCAGCCCATTGGCGCTGTACGTAGGTTTAGGCCCCCACCTCCCATGACAGTGCACTCTGTGCGGATGCCCTGCACAGCCTTCTTCCTCCAAGGACCCCTTGCCAACCTATCCCTACCTGTTGGCTAGGTCTTACTTCTGGAAACATCCGCTGTCCTTAGAAGAGGAGCAGCCGTCGCCTCCAAGTCCTGGCCTGCCCCTTCCCGGTCAAGGGCGCTCGTGTTGGAAGTACGGGCTTCGCTGCAAACAGCAGAGTCCGGCTGGCGGACGACCTGGAGAAGCCAGGCTCAGGGGCCTGAGGAAGGGGGACGCCCTGCCCCCAATAGCCCAGGTAGCTGGGCTGCGAGACTTTGGGGCCCGCCCCAAAGCCCCTGGCTGCCCTGGAGCTGTGGGAACCGCGATTCCAGGGGGCCGTCCGGCCCTGCGCTCTCTCTCCTGGACCCGCGGCGGCGGGACAGGGCGCGCGGGCCGACTGCGGCAGAGACTCCACCGCCTCCGCCGCTGTAAACCGGTCTGGCTTCCCTGCAGGGCGAGCGGGGATGGAGCGAGGGGGTGGAGAGAAAAGGGGAAGAGCCTGGGCGGCCGGCGGGCGGGGCCTGCAGCCTCGGGGCGCCGCACAGCCCGCTCTCCCCGCGCCTCGCTCCACTCCGGCGCGCACCGCGCGGACCCGGGCGCCCGAGCTCCGGCGCCGCTGCTCCTCGGGCTCCGCTTCCGAACTTGGCTTCCGAGGCCGTGGAGCCGCCTCCTGCTGCGCTGTCGGACCGGAGCACCGACTGGGAAGGAAGGGGAACGCGGGGACACACACCCGCGGCGCGCGCGCATTGCACACTCGCAGCCGCGCGCCCCCGCCGAGGCGCGTCTGGGGCGGGTTCGGCTCGGCCGCTCCGGCCGGCACCTGCCTGACCCCGCTGCTGCCCCGGCCCGGGCCCCACCCCTCTGCCGCGCCGCTGTCCCTTCGCCGGGGAAGCGACAACATCCCGACAACTTGCAGGCTGTGGCGCAACTGGTCTTGGCGGCGGAGCCTCCCGCATGCTGCCCGGGTGAGGTAAGTTTCCGCGCGCCCCCGGCTCCTCCCCTCCCGACCCTTGCGGCCGCCACTCTCCGGGGCTCTGCGTCTCTGGAGACACCAGACGGTCTCTACCCTGCGCTTCGCAGCCAGCGCTGTGCTGGGGGTGACGTGGAGGGGGCGCCCGTGGCCGCCGAAGCGGGACCTTCCTTCCTCCGGGCCACCGCTGCGCGCTCCGCGTGGGCACCCACGGCTCGCCACCGCTGTCCCTCGGGCCGCAGTGACCCTTGGCAGTGACCCTGGGCTCACCTAAGCACAAGCCCCCGCCCCGCTTCGGGGGACCACCCAGTTTGGCAACAGAAGGAGCGGTCTCACCACTCTCCCCTGGTACTCAAAACGAAGAACTTGGTAGGCGCCCCTGGGATCCAAGAGGGGCTTTTACGGGTCGGTGTTCCGGCTCTCTCCGGTGCTGGAGCCGGAATGAACAGGTGCGGTGTGGTTTCAACCCAGGCGGCGGCCGGCTTCTGCGTTTGCCCGCGTTCTCCCCCTGCCCGGCCAGCGTGACTCTTCAACATCTGGGCCGGGGTGGGGGATGAGCGTGTGGGACAATCGCGAGGGAGAATGCCCGGGTTTGATTTGCCAGGCTGGGGCAGGAATCGCTTGGAAGGAAGACAACAAATGTCTGCTTGTCTCCCATCTCTGCAGATGATTATGTTGTCAGTTCTTGTCCCCCACCGCCACCTCTCTGTGTGCCCTGCAAGAGGGATAGGGTAGAAAACTGTTCGAGGGAAGTTGTTCGAATAGGTTGGTGAATTTTCATCTAGTCTACTGAAGTCGGGCTCCAAAGGAAGGAATGTTAGTTACTTTGATGATTTTTGGAAGGAGTGTGTGGCCGACTGAAAATAACACCCCTTACCATTGCTGCTTGAAGACATTCTCAACCTGTAGGGGGCCCTGGCTCGAAGGTGAATGCCTGGCCCTGAGGGATCCAGGTGAGGCTCTCGGAATATGCTGATCTCCAGCAAAGAAGGAGCGGTCCCCCCAGCCAGTATTCCTGATTGAGGGTTTGGGGATCCTCGTTTGTCTCTGGTGAAATGCATCCCTTCACAGAGTTCCCTCTGATTCAGTAGCGAGGCTGAAGTGCTGTGCAGTTGTTGCAATGGTGAAAAGGCAAAGAATTGGTTTCATTAGGGCTTTAATGTAATGAACTTGTCTTCACGGCAGCTTTTGTCAGGGGATTCCCAGCTGAAAGGAACCGCTTAGGAAAAAACCTGTCGTCTGTATAGCGTCACTGTAAGTCTCTGTTCACATTTTGACAGATAAGAACAGATGATGGAAGTTTTCTATAATGTTGCATCTAATTCAGTGGTGCTTTCCTGACTGGAACTCAGCTCTTGATGTTTTGTTCATTGCTTTATTATATTCTACATTGTCCAACTTCTGGTAGTCATGAGGACATACAATGTATGCGGCCGTAGAGCGGGGGCTGCTAGGCATGTTAGTTCAGGACCTGGGTTCTAGTCCAATACTACACTTGGGCCAGATCATCTCCAAGTCTAATATTATATATTACATGTTCATATTACATTATTTCTTTTCCATCTTTAGCATTGTATCATGTTGGCCAATGTATTTATCACCCAGCAGTGTCGCTTTCTTTTAGAAGAAGGAAAGCTCTTTACCTTCTATTAAAGGCTAATTACCTATTCTACCTTTAACTCACCCCTCCCCACTTTTACCACATAGCACTTAATGAAGGGAAGGAAAATTACAAGTGGGCTTTAGCTTGGCATCTATGATGTTTACTGTTTCTGACTTACTTGAAAATACTAAGGAGCTGATGTACTCTAAGGTACGTGTTGGTTAAATACTCCAGCAGTCAATGTGTACCCTTATGTTTTCAGCTTTGTAGTTTGCAAAAAGTATGCATGCCCCAAATAGTTGCTGAATTAATGAAGGAGATGAGTGAAATCATTCCTAAGAAAACATATATGCTGGAAAACATAACATCCAGTGGTGTAACTTTCCTGCATATAAGATAATTTGCCTGCAAGAAGTGTGGCTTGGGGCACCCATGTGACTCTTTTTCCTGAGCACATCATGCAAAGAATTTTTCTTGCTCTCCTTAAGCAGTCGACTCGTGTCATCTGCATCCTGCTCTTTTGCTTCTCTCTGCCCTCCCAGTTGTTAGTAATGTAGAGCTGGCTAAAAGGTGCCTTCTTAGACATTACCTTATGCCATTTTATGCAAGAGCCCCTCCCTGCATAGATCACAGATCACAGCATTGAATGAATCTCAGCAGATCCTGAGATTGGCCTGTGGTTTCAGAGTAGGAAACTAATTACCAAAACCAAATAGTTTCTGTTCCCTTTAAGAATCCTCATCTCCTTCAACTCCTCTTTTTCTCCTTCAACTCCTCTTTTCCATATACAGAAAAGGCATGAGTCTTATCTATGGAGTACCTTAGATCTCAAACATCATTAATAGATCCTGCCATTTATATTGGGGACCACAGTATGTCCCTTTCTGATAAAGTTAATTCTAATAAAATATTAACTTTAATAGGATAGAAAAATGAAACCTAGGGAAGAAGCTTATAGTTAGACTGATAGTGGTGTGAGGGCCAGGGTTTATGTGAAATTCTAACAGATTCATATTCAAGGTTGTGTCAGGAGCTCTCTGGGGAAGGTTCAGTTTTTACACTCAAAGAGCATAAAGGTTAACAGGAAACTTCCATCTGCTAATAGTTACTCCAGAGTATGTATATTTTAAAATATTTTAATATATCTATTTTTAAATTTTCTCATCTAACAACTGTGCAGGAGAAAATGTTTGTCTGTTCTCATGTATTCACTATGATTCTCTTGGCTTGTATGCATCAGTAGACTCAGAATCAATGCTTTGCACCAACCAGGGCTTAAAGAAAGGGAATTGTTTGAATAGAAACACAAATGTATGCTGGTTTTCTAAGCTTCTCTTCCTGGTAAATAAAGCCAGAAGCTAAAGGTGGCCCTGTCATCCAGCCAGTAAAGTCATAAATATGTATATATTTAATTTACATTTGCATTTTGCTTGTACTTCTGTTAACTGGTGAGTCAGAACATTTACTTATCCTAGAAAAATAATTTTTGTATGGCTACAGCCTCTGTTGGAGTTACTCTGGGAAACACTAGGTCCTAAATATATTTGTTGCAGAAACATTTTCTCTTTGTATCAAGTGTATTGACTAGAGTTGGAAGGAGTCCTTTTATTTTTTTAGAAGCTGTCCAGTTAGAACTGTACATTATGTAGCTCAGCTGTTCATTTGTGGTCTTATCTAAGAAGCAGGATGTGTTTCTTCTAAATGCCAGGGAAACTGGGAGGAAGGAAACCTTGCATTTGATTTTATTTAGTTTTCTTTTTCTTTTCAGAAAATCCACTTTGAGCTTAATTTATTGGTGAAATTTTGGGGAGTACTATGTCAAACAATTGGCTGCCACTGATGAAGAGTTTTATTCAGCCAGATCCTTTCAAAATAAAAGATTAAGCCATGGAAAATAGGCTTGATCTTATACATTTTATTTTCATTTCTATCTTCTCTTGTGTAGCTCTATCGGAAGGGTACAAAGAAATGGTCACACAGGAAAACAAAGGACTATTACCCAAATTATGTTATTCTTGGGATATCTGAAGCATAGCGACTGACCTAGTTGGTTGCTCCATCAGCTGACTATGTCGTGATATTGTCATTTTAGGTTAAACCCACACTTGAATGAACAACCACACGAAGTGTGTGTTCTTTTTGTAGCAAAACTTTTGAGCTGTTTATGGGACTCAATAAACAATGGATATTTACTACATTTGGGGGAGTTTACATAATGGGTGAATACTAAGTTTTTCAGCCTAGTTTTCTCCAATATATTTAGGAAATCAGATATGAAATTACAATCAAGTATGAGGCATTGGATGTTTAGTGTTGCTCCCATTCTAATAAATTTGTGTGCATGTCTTTCAGTGGAATCTGCGCAAGGATTGGAATTATAAGTGTTGGGAGCCTAGGAAGTTTAATTACTTTGAATTGGAACCAAACTTTAGAAACAGGCGTGTAAAAAGTTGCTCTACTTTGTTAGAAAAAAAAAGTAGTATTTAAACTTTCTCTGCTCAGTAGTGCTGAATAAGGAATTTGGAGAGGAAGTTAAATTCATAGGTAGCCAAAAAAAATGTTTTTCTTTGCTTCATAGATAGATTGGTACAAGAAATGAAATCAACTCAAAATGTTGCAGGATGGCTTTTTGACACTAATTCACACTTTAAAATGCTTTAGAAATTGTGCCTACCGTCTGATTGCTTTGTCATAACATGGGGTGATAAAGGATGATAAAGAGAGTAGTAACAAGTGAAAAGAAGTACTATTAACTCCTTGAGGAATACTAAGCATATCATAGATATTTAGCAAATATTTCTCAATGGAAAAGGCCATGCGTCTTTTTTTAATATTTGTATTCTTGGAACTTAGCGCTATGTCTTGTAAGTCATGAGGATTTAATAAATGTACACTAAGCAATTTACACATTAAGATTAATACTACTCTTTGGAATCTTGGGATGTTCCTTAATTATTCTAATAATTCTATTTTCTGAACCATTTTAGAAATGTCAAACACAATGATAGACGCTTATTTCAACAGTTTATGCTGGTTCTTTTTACAATTTTGACTTTTCTGTTAATAAGACAAAAGTGTGGTCCTTAAACCAACCCACCAACTTGTTAGAATTGCAAATACTTTTACTCCACTTTGGGCCAAGAGAATCAAAACCTTAACAATGTGAGGGTTGCAGGCCTCCTGGTGGTTCTGACGCATGCTCAGTGTTGACAATAAATGTTAGACCTCTTGCTCAGAGTCTCCGTGTTCTGAAGTTTGTACAGGTGAACCCTTGTAGGAAGGGTGACGTCTACCTGGCCTACAGAAATGCAAGGAAAAATAGGAAAACCTCTCCCCCTGCTGGTTTTGGCTTTTCTCAAAACCACATGGATCATAAGAGAACCAATTCTGTGACTGG